CACACACACACACACACACACACACACACACAGTATATTAGTTTCCTAGGCCTGCCATAACAAAGGACCAGGTAACAAGCCACCAGGTAGGGTGGCTTAAACTACGGAGATTTGTTTTTTCACAATTCTGGAGGCCAGAGCTACAAGATCAAGGTGCCATCAAGGTTGGTTTCTGATAAAGGCTCTCTTCCTGGTCTGTGGATGGCCACCATCTCTCTATGTCTTCATGTGGTCTTTCCCCTATGCGCATGTGGAGAGAAAGAGATCTTTGGCATCTTTTCCTTTTCTTGTAAGAATATCAATCTTCTCAGATTAGGGATCTATCCTTGTGACCTCACGTAACCTTAATTACTGCCCTGAAGGCCCTATCTCCAATATAGTCCAGTTGGGGGTCAGGGTTTCAACATACAAAGTTCAGTCCATAACTGAGGGAAGAAAGATTTGGGAAGAATAAAAACCATTCAGGTAAGATCTGCAGAATGCAACGATTGGGGTTATTTTTTTATTCTTCCATATATAGATATATGTGTATATTCTTGTCTTTTCTAACTTTCCGCAGTGACCATTTCTTACTCTGTGACTGGAGAGAGTATTTTAAACAGGTTTCCATGTCCCTGGTGTAACCTTTTCCTGGCAGGTGTTCCTTGGGGCTCCGTTGCTATGGCAGTGACTTATTTTCCTCATCATGAGGCTCCTGGGATCCCTTGAACTCAGGTCAGACTCTGCACAAGGTTAAGTACAGGAGCATTTGGAAAGACTTTGATTCTCTCCCGTGTGCCTTCTGCTGCAGCTGAAAACATGACAGACTGAGATGCTGTCCAGGCATGGCTGGTCATGCAGGGCCTTACAGGGCGATAATGTCCTATAAATAAGCTACCTTAGCCTGGAGAGGGGCAGCTGCCCTCCTAAGACCACAGAGTGGGTTAGACATGAAGCATTGCCCCACTTGCCCAAGCAGTTTTGAGGCTCTCTTGTCTTTGAGGACATCTTTAAATCTCACAGCAGAATTAATGCGGTAAGTACAGAGCCCGGTCCATGTAAGGTTGAGGAGTGCTTTGCTAGTTTCTTCCCTCTCCCCGCACGGGTCCTGGCTGTGTTCACTTTCTGTTCCTCCTCTGGATAAACTAGCACTTACTGTCCTGCTTTGTCATTTGCCTCATCAAGTGGCTTGGGTGAATGGCCATTTCCCCGCCATGTGTGGTGAGAACTGAGGGTGGCCCGGCCCCTGTTGGTGTGCTCACTTATTTAAGGGCCTCATGGTTTATGAATATAGCCTTGTGGGAGGGGAAAAACAGACACTCGGGGAGGAGCCAGCCTCTGGACTCTGGTTCTGGCTCTGTCCCACGCTCACTTGGTAGCCTTGGACAAGTCTCTTTTCTCTACGGAACTCAGTTTACCCCTCTGAAAATGACAGATTTGGATCTCGTCCCTCAAGGATCTTCCCGCTGTGACTTGCTACAACTCACACAAGAAGCAACATTCCCATTGACATGTCTATGTCCCTCATCAAATGCTTTCTTTGACATCTCCTCCCAAGACCCATGGGTGACCCACCCCTGCCCTCTTTGTAGGAGGCAGTGTAGTATGTAGGTCAGAAGTATGGGCTCTGGAGCCAGACAAAGGGGCTCTAGTTCAGACCCCTTGCTTACTAGCAAGATGGCTTGGGTGAGTTTCTTAGCATCTCTGTGTCTATTTCCTTATTTATAAGATGAGCATATTAATAATTACCTCCTGGGGTTCTTGCGAAGATGAACTGAGATACTGTATGAAAAGTACCTGGCTTGTAGTAAACATCATTAAAGGGCATCTGCTGCAATCGTTGTTGTTCTCCTTTATCGTAAAGGAGAAGACTTTTGAGCAGCTCGCTTGGGATTTCTGAGGACAGTGAAGCCACAGATGGTGGCAAAGTCTTAGGGTGCCAGAACTTGGCTCCACCTGCATCCTGCTTCGTATACTAAGAAGATTACTGGAGAGGGGCTGGAGACATCTTAAAAATTCCAGGTCTCTCTAATCCTCCTGAGTACCCATACATCACCTGGTGTCAGCACTCTGCATAGAAAGAAGCATGGCTCAGGAAAAGACTTATGCTCTCAATATACGTGCTGCTTTGAGGTGGAGAAGGATGGGAATAGGGAGTGAAGCAGTAGAATTCTGAAGACAAGTATAAAACAGCGGGAGGTTGGCCGCTGCTCCCTGGGCCTTCCTGCCACCAGCTTGTTGGGACACCTGCTCTGCCTTTGGACCACAGCACTGAATATCTGTGCCGGGACTTAACAATGTTCCTCACAGACCGAGGACCGCCCTTAAAGTCAGAAGACGTGGGTTTGGTTCCTAGTTCCTGTGGTCCTCAGCTGTGGAACTCAGGGCCAGTTGTCTCATCCTTGAACTTCACATCCCTGCCTCGCCCCCAGTGGCACATGCCCATTGCTTTTCTTTCCATGTTACCATTTTAGGAAATGACCTGAGGTCTGGAAGTCACCCTTAGCCCCCTTTCCTTCACTTTCAACACCCAACGACCTGCAGGTCTACAGCTGACAGTTGTAACTCTTTGTCGTCATTCCTTCTCCATCATTTCTTAGGCCTCAGCAGCAGCTTCTGCCTGGTCTCCTTTCTCTGAAACTCTAGAGACTCCAGAACACTAGTCTGTTGAGAGCTTTCTCACTTAAAAGACTTCACGGGTCCCATAATCTGAAGAAACCCTAAGCTCCCTGGCATGGCCCCTGCTTACGTTTTTCTAGTACCTTCCAGCTCTCCCTTTGTATCCTAGCTGCGCTGGACAACCTGCAATTCCCAGACAAGCTCCTCACTGTACCAAGTAGAACTAAGTTTGTCTATAAGTGCCAGAAACACTCTTCCCACCCCTCAACACTAGGTTAACAAGATAAAAATGTATTTCTGTCTCATGTAAAAGAAGTCCAAGGGTAGACATTTCAGGGCTGCTATGGTGTTCCAGTGTGTCAGGAACCCAGGCTCCTGCTACCTTGTGTATTTGCCCTTCAGTCATGTGGCTTCAACTCCACAGTCCAAGATGACTGCTGAAGCTCCAGCCATCACATCTACTTTGAGCCAGCAGGAAAGAGGAATGAACAAGGAAAGGCATGACTTTGCCTCTAAGGACACTTCCTGCAAGTCACTCTTGCTCCCACACCCTCGGCCAGAATTTTATCACGTGGCCATGCTTAGCTGTAAGAGAAGCTGGGACATTTTTATTTCAGGTAGTCTTTATTTTAGATAGCCCTGTATTGAGGCAAGCAGAAATGTTTGTTTCCAAGGAAGAAAGAAGGGATGAATATTGGGTGATGCCCAGCAGTCTCTGCCACATAATCTCACATTTGGGGATTTGCACACATTGCTTTTTCTGTCTGGGACACCTTCCCTCTCCCTACACCCCCCTTCCTTGGCTTGGCCTGCTATTATTTGTCCCTTAATACTCACTCACCTCATGGCCATACTCACCCTGGCCCCCTGTGACTGTCTGGGGACTCCTTGACACCCAGTGCAACTACATAATCCCCACCACTAATATTTCATGTCTCAAAGATATGCTGAGGAAGTGGGGTTATATTCTTCAGGCTTCCAGGGCCTTCCTACCTTTGGGGGAGTTTTGGGGGCGATGAGATGGCTGAATGACCTCCGAGGCCAATGACAAGTTGGTGTTCCCTGGGTTGTATACAGACCACCCACCTTCCCATAGTCGCTCTTGAGACACTGCAGTGACACTGATTAGGTCGCCCCCTCGTGATGGTGAGTGGTCGAGGTGGGGAGGGATTATTGTGATTCTGGCTTTTATTGTGAAACAATTCTTGATTTGATTTCCGCCGTTTGTTCGTCTCAGTGTCCACCTGGGCAACATGTGCCTTTTAGGGTGAGTGTTGACAGCTGATCTCATATGGCATTGAAATTTAAGTGCTGCACCGAAACTTAGAAGCCTCACGGGCCCTGGGGCCTCAGGTGGTACTTGTGACGTGTCAGTTACTACCACAAGCAGAATGTTTACATGTCGACATCCAGGTGACAGTTTGCTGCTTCTTCTTGCAGTTGGTCACCACTGAAGGGCGCTTCCTCAAAGACAGTTTGTACAACGAGGGAATCCTAATTGTGTGGGACCCATCTGTTTACCATTCAGATATCCCAAAGGTAAGTGGGTAAACATGGGACGTAGGGATGCGTCTTCTGTTTGCCTGTAGATGTCTCTGAGTTCCTGGGTTTGAGAGTCATGGCTGACCTGGGCCATCCCTGAGGACTGGCTCTTTCAGTTTGAGGACAACACACTTCATCCGGAATGGCAGCGCGGAAGTATTCCCGTCCTATACCAGTGCCCTCCGCGCCCTGCCCCATGGTGCCGTGTTTTCATCTCTTAATTATGGTATGGATCAGGAGTAACAGGGCCCGAATTTCTCACTGGAGTGGGGTCGTGTTCATCTAATTCAGTTATTTCTTTTTTTTTTTTTTTTTTAATTTTTTTAATGTTTTTTATTTATTTTTGAGACAGAGAGAGACAGAGCATGAACAGGGGAGGGGCAGAGAGAGAGGGAGACACAGAATCCGAAGCAGGCAGGCTCTGAGCTGTCAGCACAGAGCCCGACGCGGGGCTCGAACTCACAGACTGTGAGATCATGACCTGAGCCGAAGTCGGATGCCCAACCGACTGAGCCACCCAGGCGCCCCTAATTCAGTTATTTCTGATGCAGATCAGTAGGAATAGACAGTGGTTACTCTTACTCCTATGACAGAATCACCATGCTTGACCTACTTCCGGTCTCCAGAATTCTTCCATTTCACTCTCGTAACAACACAGGGAAGTAGGTAGAAGCGTGGTTATTTCCCTTTTGCAGGTGAGGAGACTGGACTGTGGAGAGGGGAAGTCGCCTGTCCCAGGGCTTGGTTTACTAAGCAGGGGGCACTCTTTCAGAAAGGCGACAGAAGTCTCGGGCCTGCTGGCTCCTCAGCTTCTCCAGATTGGCGCTCTTGCTGTTTGTCCTGCATGTCGGTTGGCCTCTCCCTGATGTGGCTTCAGTGCCACAGGAGAATGGCTTTAGGGCAGAAGGATGGGGTGCTTGGGGACCCTCTGGGGACACTTGATTCTGGAGTCAGACCCGGCAGGAGCCGACAGGCTCTGGTGACCCCTGGTACCCTCACCACCTCAGCCCCCGCAGTTTGGCACTGATCTCCCTGAAAACAGAAGTTGGCCAGGGTCAGGACAGGGACTTTGAACCCCCCAGATGTGGCAAGCTGTGCCCCAGTTTTCGCCCCCTTAGAGGTGGGGTTAGACGGTGCCAAGGGCCCCTTTGAGCTCTGGAAGCTTTCCCAGAGACTATGATCCTGAAGTCTGAGGCTGTTCCAGGGTCACCAGGCTCAGAATCCCCTGTGAGCATAGGCTATGTGCTGGGTCCCCTGTGCTATCAAGTGAGTGCTGTGATGTGGAGGAGTCTGGAATCTGCTCCCGAGCCGAGGCACATCCCTCTCCTTGAGAAGACCATTTCCTTCTCTTTCAGTGGTACCAGAGCCCTGACTACAGCTTCTTTGAGAACTATAAGAGTTATCGCAAGCTTCATCCCGATCAGCCCTTTTACATCCTCAGGCCCCAGATGCCTTGGGAGCTGTGGGACATCATTCAAGAAGTCTCCCCGGAGGAGATTCAGCCCAACCCCCCATCCTCTGGGATGCTTGGTGAGTCCGCATCTGGGGAAGGACCTCTCGTGTTTGTTTCTAGAAGCGGTTAGCGCTCTTCTGGGATCTCATTCATTCATTCGTTCGTTTCTTTGCTCACCAAACAACTGCTAGGTTTTTGTTGTATTTGTATACTGTGCCAAGTTCTAGCTAAGATCCAGAGATCGGAAGATAGAATCCTTCTCCATTAGGGTCTTTGGTGGTGGAGTTCAGTCAGGCGTCCAAGGCCAGGAGGGAGCAGCTGCCCGGTTGTGCCAGGAGGGAGGTTTGTGGAGGGGTGGCGTCAGCCCAGGCCTGGGCAAGGGGCAGATTTGGTGGTGGGGGCTGGGCAGGAAAGCAGAAGAGCAGGGCTGGGATTTGGAAGATGAGGCGAGGAAGACACTTGCCTCAGGTGTACGGTTTAAGGGAGCACCAAAAAATTTCAGTAACAAATAACATCAATACAGACTCTCTTCAACACCACAACGAATGCAAGATTTGATGCTGAGTGAAATATCAAACATTTTAAATAAAAACAGGATCAGTAATAATGTTCTGCTGAGCCATATTGGCATCCGAGGAAAAATCGAGACTCAGTAATACTTTATTCTGGATTTCAAAAATTTGTTTAATCCAGTGAGTGCCCCAGTTTATGTTCCTGAAAGAGGAATGAGCTGTGAAGCTTTATTGGGTTTAGGCGTCATGAATGGAGCTGAGGGAGCTGGTGAGGGTGGGCTGAGGTCTGAGTCCAGACGGTCCTGAATGCTGGCTTCATACTTTCTTCTCGGACGCATGGAAGGGAAACTCTCCTCTGAGCCCCCGCAGGGGACCCCTTTCCCTGGGGATGGATGGACGGAAAGATGGATGGATGGTTGGATGGCTGGCCCCTGCCACCCCCCCATTGCATGATTTGCCTGCTCTCCTTCTGGAATACAAACCACCTCAGGGTGGGGACTGAGTTTGATGCATTCTTATGGGTCTGGCATAGGATAGCCCTGTGGTAACTGTACCCTAAGTTAATGAACAAGTCAGTTGAATGTCAGAGGCACTCCTTATAGAAAGGGATGGGGGCCATTTCACTATCACACCTTCTTCATACTTTTTTTTTCAACGTTTAGATGTGTGCATTTGGGGCTCTTCCAGGAGCCCTTTGGAACAGGAATAGTTGGAAAAGCACTTTCCCGTTGCCACTGCTCTGCCTTTGCCCACGCAGTCCCCTGTACCACCAATCCCCCTTCGTGCCCATCCCTAGTGGCCCCTGCCGGGCCCCACACCTGTGCTTCCAGGAAGTTTGTGGAAGACCTCTCCCATAGGAAGCGCTTCCTCCCGTAATTTCTGGAAGCACTTCCGTTGTGCCTTCATCAGTTCATTGCAGAGCTGTCTTTCTTCCCCGCATTAGACCAGAGGCAGCCAGAGAGGGCTTTCCCCATAACTGATTCCTCTGGAACAAAATTGCTGCTAAGCAGTTTACAGTTTTGCTATCAGTGAGAACTGCTTCATCGCAAACGCTCCCCATATTTATGGCTGACAGAGGGGTCTGAGAGCCACCATCTTACTGTATCCTAGCAACAGCCTGTGTGGTAGGAGGAGTGGGCGGATCACCCCTTGGGGCAGATGGCGAGGGACGTGTCCTGCAGGCGATGCCTGAGCCAGGTGGGGACAGGAGGGTGGAAGCAGGAGTCTCCAGCCTCTTGTTGGCACAGTGTTCTGGAAGCACCGGCCTGGCCACACCGCTTCGGCTGCATCTCCTGCCCAAAGGAGCAGAGCCCAGCGATACAGACCGTGTATGCTCCTGTTCCCACTGCCCTCCTCCCGGCCCGGGGGAAGGTCCGTCTCCCTAAGCACTGTAAGAAGCAACTTCTCCCAATCAGCACCATCCACCAGGCTCCTGTGGGATGTAAAAGTGCTAGAAAGTACTATCTACGTGTGATGGTCCCGTCACCTCAGTCGTCTTGTCCTCTCTCTGCATATAGCTCATTCGCCCCGATAAGTCCGGTGACCGGTGGAGCGCTTCAGTCCTCTAGTGCTTAGGGGGGGACCTGTCACGTATCAGCCTAGGTGCCAGGGATACAAAGGCACACAGGACACAACATCCCGAGGAACAGCTTGCGGGATTGGCCTACTGGCAGAGCTCAGGTTGGGAATCACAGCAATAAACAGAAACCCCGGATAGACATCTCCTCACATTTGGGTCCCTGAGCTGCCGGGCTTATGGGGCACGAGCTCAGGATGCTGGGGTGGGTCGCTGGGCAGGACTTACCTCCGCTCCCCTTTTCAGGCATCATCATCATGATGACGCTGTGTGACCAGGTGGATATTTATGAGTTCCTCCCGTCCAAGCGCAAGACTGACGTGTGTTACTACTACCAGAAGTTCTTTGACAGCGCCTGCACGATGGGCGCCTACCACCCCCTACTCTTTGAGAAGAATCTGGTGAAACACCTCAACCAGGGCACAGACGAGGACATTTACCTGCTTGGGAAAGCTACGCTGCCTGGCTTCCGGAGAATTCGCTGCTGAGCGTGGGCTTCCTGGTCAGGTCCCCTCACCCTTCTCCACCGAGCGTGGGCAGATCACATTCCCGAACAATCACAGCCTGCACCGTGGGCCTTCTGTCAGCAAGAGCCTCGGGCTTTAGGAGTCCCAAGAGCAAGCATCCAGGTCCAGCCTGCCCCGTAGCTGCAGAGGTGTGTGTGTGACCCCCAGAGCCTCCTGCCACACACATGTGCACACACACCTAGCATTCTTTCCACACACAGGCAAATGCGGGATCCACCTTTCTCCCCAGGGCTGCCAAAGCTGGGCTGTTTTCCCCACGGGAGTGGCGTTATTCTCACAAACCAGCACTCTCTGTTGCTTGAAATCTGCTCCTAGATACTGATTTCGTGTTTTAAAGAAATTCTCCTAAATGATGATTTGCCCTAAATGATGATAAGGTGGCTCTGGGGACCAGTAGGTGGTAGGGAGCGTAGGACACATCCTCGATTCCTCTAGAACAAAGCTGCTGCCAAGCTCCATGCCCTCGGGAGAGGTGGCATTCCTGTCGCTCTAGCTGGTTTGGCGGGTCCTTAACCTGGGTGCTTGTGGGCAAAGGGTCTTGCCAAACGCACATCCTCTCCACAGGGCGATGAGAGGCACAGAAGGGCACAGGCTCCATCCTCCAGCTGCTTGCGAGCTCGGGAGGGGCCGCACACTTGCTCTGTCTGCCGGTCGGAGAGAGCTTCTCTGAGCTGGGCTGTGGAGGAGATTTTAGAGGAAGAGGAGAAACAAGCCAAGCAGACGCTTGACTCATTTGAGTTGCGTTTTCCTTTCTGCCTTTATTGCCTACATTTATTCTCTAAGGTCTGCCTGAACTTAGGGGCTCAGATGATTTTTTGAGGAACCCCCCGCCAACCCGTCTGAGGCAGGGAGTGCAGCCCCCTGGCAGACACCAGGCAAGCCAGATGCCAAAAACCTGATTTGTCCATGCTCAGCCTGGCCTGACCCTACCCTGCAGTGGGATTTGCACACCGCGCCCACTGCTTCCTTAACGCCCACCCCGCCCCACCCCTGACTGCCATCTTGTTTTCCCCTTTAAAGCAGTGGGTTTTTTTTTTTTTCTCTCTCGCTCAAATTATTTTTCAACATTTTCTGCTTTACAACAGTATCCCAATCTGATGATTTCTTTGACCTTCCCGGGCCTTTTGCGGGATGTCTCTCAGGGAGTGGGGATGTGGTTCCCTAGCATTTAAAGTTGCTCTCGGAAGTCAGAACCTTAGAGATCATAACCGATTCTCACAAGGTTTATCAGACAGCCATGCCCTCTGGCCCTCCAGCAACGGTGCAGCGTCAGAGTCTCCAGACAGAGGCCCTCGCACCCTGGTCTGCCAACAGGCTTCCTGGGTAGTTGTGCTACCCCATCCCCTGGTGGAGAAGCATACTGGGCTAGGCCAGCCCTGCCGTGTGGAGAAGGCAGAGCGCTCGCTCAGGGTCACAAAGTAATGCTGTAGAGCCAGGGTTCCTAGACCCGGGTGTTTGGACTCCTGGCCTCATGTGCTCAAGGGCCCCTCAAGCTTGAGCTCTAGATCAGCTGTCTGGGAGCTGGAGCTGGCTCACTTGCTGCCAAACCCTTGGTTGATAGAAGAGTAGAAGGACCTCAGAGGAAGAAGCCCCGGGTTTTCAAATTGATGCTCCCCCCGCCCCGTTTACCAGCCATACCACCATTGGTGAATTCTCTCTGAGACTCTGTTTCCACGTCTTTAAAATGGGGGGGTGATGAGCCTACCTCACAGGGCTGTTCTAAGGGTTACATGAAACACCTATCCTGGTTCTGTCCTAGGAGGTTCCCCGCGCATGGTGGCTTCCTCCCTCCCTCCCTTCCTTCCTTTTCTAAGGACCTGCTGTGTGCTCACACCTGGGCAAGACCTTACTTTGAGGGAGGCCGGAGAGGGGTCCTATCATCAGGGAATTAACTCTCCTATTGGGACACCTGCCTGGAATGCCCAGAAAACCATCCGAGGCAGTGGAACGTGCAGAGGGTGTCCCCCCCCCGCCCACCCCACCCACCTCCTTCTCCTCCTCCCCCTCCTCTTCCTCCCTGCTTGCAGTTCTGACCTCTCTGCTTGGGGATAGGCAGCGCACTTGGGCCGCTTCTTGCTGTGTGGGGAGTCTTTCCCCTCTCCGGGCCCCCGGGCCCGGGCCCATAAAACATTGCTTTATTTCTGATTTGACGTGCTTGCTGCAATCTCTGAATCACAAACAGTGAGAGGCAGGTGGCATTCCATCAGCAGGAGGTAGGTGTTGGTGTGGACAATGAGACTACACTGGGTAGATGCTAGCTTTAATTGTTATTATTCATCTAAGGGATCAAATTAATTTAATTCTGTGTTGTCTATGGAAACTAGTAAACTGCAGATAAGATAGGGGTATTATTGTTGGTCTGGTGAGATGTTTAATGTTTGCGACAGATAATTTAGAAATGGTGACTGCACGCTGCGTTTGGAAAGTCCCCGTCTTGAGGGGGTCGCGTCTTCGTCAGTAGCCATCGCTCCATCCCATATCATGAGGTCCCCTGGCTCTTCAGTCGCAGAAACTGTTCACGTTGGTCTGGAGACCTCGATCTCAGAAGTGTCTGCACCGTGCCTGATCCGATCATGAATTATCCAAAGATGATGTAAAATTTTAAAATAAACGTGTTTTTCAAAAAGTTTATCCCTCTCTCCTTACTCGCTAAGGGAACGAACTGCTGGGGGTCAACTTTTATCTCCAAGGAGGACACAGCTGGAGTCCCGGAGCCCTGAATCCTTTCCCACTAGCTCCTCTCCACTCCCCCGGGAAGAAGGATGCTCACCTACGTAGCAAACAGCATCTTTGAGATATTGACCGATTGTTGTTGTTGTTGTTGTTGTTGTTGTTGTTTTCCTTTTGCTCTTGCTTGGGTTCACGTGACTAAGTTGTTTGTCCAGCACCTCAGGGAAAGGATGCTGTAGGACAAGGAAGCAGGATGGAAGGAAGGTCTTTACCTTGATTTCCAAAATCCTAAAACCCTTAAGGGACTGAGTTCCCAAGAGGATAGCCAAAATGTTTGGACAAAAAATCTCAGAAGCAGGAATAAGGAGAGAGGAGAATTCCTTTTCTCCGTGAACTGTGCCCCTCCCGTTAGGGATTGGATATGTCCCCCTAAACCACACGACACTATACTGTAGTCTATTAAGGGTGCAGCAGCACTGTGTCTGCAAAAACTATTTGATCAAAAAATATTTTATTGTGGGACACCTGGGTGGCTCAGTCAGTTGAGCGTATCACTTTGGCTCAGCTCATGATCTCTAGGTTCCTGAGTTCGAGCCCCATATTAGGCTCCCTGCTGTCAGCGCAGAGCCCCCACTGGACCCTCTGTCTCCCTTCCTCTGCCACCGCCCCCCCCCCCACCACCGTTTGCACTCTCTCAAAAATAAACATTAAAAAATATATGTTATTGCTAAAAAATGCGAGGCATCCTCTGACCTTTCAGGGAGTCCTAAGTGGAGGGTCTTGCCTGGGTGTTGCTGGCTTCTGCCCGCTCGGGGTGCTGGTGGCTAAAGGCTGGGGTGGCTGTGCCCGTTTCTGAAAATACGACAGCTATGAAGTTTGCCACACCGATTGACTCTTCCTTTCACAGACGATTCCTCTGTAGCATGCGATCCTGTTTGACACCTTTTACCCACAGTAGAACTTCTTTCAAATTTGGGGTCAGTCCTCTCAAACCTTGCCGCTGCTTTATCACCGAAGCGTATGAGGTTGTCAATCCTTTGTTGTCATTTCGACAGGCTTCCCAGCGTCTTCACCAGGAGTAGAGTCCATCTCAAGAAACCACTTTCTTTGCTCGTGCATGAGAAGCAACTCTTCATCCATTCAAGTGTTATCATGAGATTGCAGCAGTTCAAATGTAATAATAGTGAACAAGTTTGAAATATTGCGAGAATTGCCAAAATGTGACACAGAAACAGGAAGTGAGCAAATGCTGTTGGAAAAATAGCACCGACAGACTTGCTTGACGCAGGGTTGCCACAGACCTTCAAAAAAAAAAAATTATTTTTTAATGCAGTGTCCACGCAGTGCAGTAAAGCAAAGTACAACAAAACAAGCGATGCCCGTATGTACTTCGGACCCCAGCACCCAATGCCTTCGTGTTGTACGTTCCCTGGAACTCCGATGTAATGCCCTATCAACGAAGATTGGGTTTCTGTCTGGATCCCAGTAGAAAGGGAGCTCAAAATAGAAGTGACAGTCAGTTTGGGAACGGAGATTTGTGCTTGCCGCATTTTACAGTGGCCCTCATTCTCTGTAAGGTCCTCTTAGCTGGTGAGCTGGGAGGGCGGGGACCCACTATCTGGGCCTGGAAGGGACCTTCTGCAATACCTCAGGCTGCCTCTCCCACCCCCCACACCTATTCCTAGCTCCCAGGCCTCCTGTGTGGCCTTGGTTTCCTCTTCTCTTGTGACCCTCAGGGCAGCCTTCTTGGCTGTGATGTGATGTGACAGGGAGTGCACTAATGCTCCAGGGTCACTTTCCACTTTTTCAACCCATAAAATTCATCCCTGTGAGCTGGGATCATGGCATCAGCTGCAAGAGAGAGGAAAAGACCTTCCTGGCGCCTACAAAATCCCACCACCTCATGCATTTATGCCACCATCCAGTCCCTCCTCAGGATTGACTAGGAAACAAGCTGATAATGGGAAGAGGAATTCTGTTCAGCCCAGTGAGTCCCCAGGAAACACCTACTCTGAGTGGCACTGGGAGACAGCCTGTGAGTGGCACAGGTCACAGCGCCTGTCCTCCAAGAATTTGGGGCCTGGGAGAATGGGCCGGCCCCGCCTGTGAGCAGTGTCATTGTCACCTGAGAGACGAGTGGTGCCATTTCCTGGAGAACTAAACCTAGGTAGTACACTTAGGTTGTTCGGCACGCATTTGTAACGGCATAGAAGGAAAACACCATGCAAATGCCAAAATGGGGAAGTAGGATCATACAAGGAAAAGTACGATAATGAAGTTATAGAAAATAA